CAGCGGTTCGCAACGGGGTGCGATCATGATGCGGTGCAGAAATTCCGCACCGCACCAGTGTGAACCCAGGGTTAGGGGCTCATTCACATGGGCGCAGAGATCTGTCCACTGTATCAGGATTTCTGCACACATGTTGAGTACAACTGCCTGTAATAATAAACGGTTGGCTATGGGCAAACAGCTAAATACACAGAGATGAAGTACAGATAAAGGCTCATTTACACTAGCACTTGGGGGACGGTAAAACTGCGAGGTTGAGCCGAGTTTTTACCACCCTTCAACCACTCCCTCTTTTGCTGCAAAGGCAGGGGCCAGGGTTGTTCACACACTGTGGCCACCATGCTTCATTTCGTGGCAAAAACTACACCCTCTTTCACATTTGGCAGGCACTGGCACCCACCAGACGCGACCCATTCAAGTGAATGAGGTCACGCTGCAGCCATCCTACAACCTCATGCAGTGCAGACGGTTGTGGCATTTAGAAGGTTAAAACAGGCAGTGAGGAGGTGACATATCACCTGTCAAACCCCTCTGAACAGCGATCCAAAGGGGCTTATCTGAATCTGGAATCCCCCCTTTAAAAATAAGTTGGGCCCCCAGATATTGGATTCCCCCCTTTGTGATTGAGTATGGGGTTCATATTACACCAACATATTCACACAAAAAAAATCATAACCTCAGACTTACTTTCAAACTCAGTCTCATTGCGGGCTGCATCAGCACTATGGTTGACCTGAAATGGCCGGCTGTATCTGTAAGACTAGATGTCCCACAGCACCCCCCACCCTCCATACATCAGATGTCAAGAGCCCCCCCATCATCAGCAATCAAGAGTCCCCCTCGCTCCCTTATGTCACAGTGCACCCCATCCTTCCTTACCTTGTGCTGCTGCCTAGAAGAAGCTGGTGGCAGAGCTGGGAAGCAGAGCGTGCAGGGTCTGGAGGAGGACCAGAGGAGGTCTAGAGTCAGCTGACAGAGTCTGCTGAATGCTGAGACCCGGGGAGGCGGAGATGAGGGGGTGCTTCGGTTGCACGGAGAGGAATCTGTAGAAGGAGTTCTGTTCTCCTCTCTGCTGCTGACTGCTGAGACAAGGTGAGGGTGGAGACAAGTGGGGTGCTGCAGCTCCACAAAGAGCTTCAGGATCTGTAGGAAGAGTTCTGTCCTCCTCTCCGCTACTGACCACTGAGGCAAGCTAAGGGTGGAGATGAGTGGGGTGCTGCGGTTCCATAGAGAGGCGCAGGATCTGTTGGAGAAGTTCTGTTCTCCTCTCTCCGCTGCTGACTGCTGAGACAAGGTGAGGGTGGAGACAAGTGGGGTGCTGCAGCTCCACAAAGAGCTGCAGGATTTGTAGGAGGAGTTCTGTCCTCCTCTCTGCTGCCGACTGCTGAGAAAAGGTGAGGGTGGAGACGAGGGGGGTGCTGCGGCTGCACAGAGAAGTGCACGATCTGTAGGAGGAGTTCTGTCCTCCTTTCTGCTGCCGACTGCTGAGACAAGGTGAGGGTGGAGATGAGGGGGGTGCTGTGTGGCTGCACAGAGAAGAGCAGGATCTGTAGGAGGAGTTCTGTCCTCCTCTCCGCTACTGACCACTGAGGCAAGCTGAGGGTGGAGATGAGTGGGGTGCTGCGGCTCCATAGAGAGGCGCAGGATCTGTTGGAGAAGTTCTGTTCTCCTCCCTCCGCTGCTGACGGTACCATGTGTCAATCATTTGCACAGCCGTCACTAACCTTCACAGTCATTTGCTTAGTGCATTTATTTCTTACGCTCATCAGCTCCATCCGGTGGCCATATTGCGGTATTTTCCTGAAATGCCTCAGTCAGGTAAATAACACATAATTGCCACTAGATGGCAATGATGAACTTAATTAAGGTGAAGATTCATGATGGCAGGTAGAAGGATTGACACATTTGCTCTGTGAATGTTTTAATAATGGACCCCTAAATTAAATAAACTAAAACTCCCCTTTTAAATACAGGGCAAAAAAGTAGACCTTTTCCCAGTAAATTTCAGCAAAATGAATGATATTCAGAGCTTTGAAATTGCCATTGGCGATTCTAATCCCAACATATTCCCATGTATGACCCGTCCCATCCATCACATTCTAGGCGGTTCCTTAGCTCCTGTTTTCTATTATACTTTTACTGTATATTTCTCCCGTTCACGCTCACATTTCACCGGCTCCCTTCACAGCGCCCAATGGATGTGACAGGTAATAGATGTGGGAAGTACGCTCGGCTACACACAGCCCCACGCAGAGATACGCAGACAATGTGTCTGGGGGGGAGTACCTGCCATAATCTTCACCCCCCCTGTATATGCGTCTATAACCCGGAGCACACAATGGGCCCATAACTCACCGGTGACTCCGCTTCATTCACCCACACACAAACATACCGTCATCCCTGGATGATGGAACTGCCACTTTAGCTATGTCAGGTGATGTATGGCACTCTCCTAGGAGGTGGCTGGGAACCCATCCCCCTCCCACCTGCTAAAATCTACCGCCATACAGTATCGTTTATTAGAGTGATTTAACCACTTCAAGTCCAGAAACTTTCACCCACTTCCAGTCCGGAAACTTTCACCCCCTTCCAGTCCGGACTCTTTCACTCCCTTCCAGTCTGGACACTTTCACCCCCTTCCAGTCCAGGACACTTTCACCCCTTTCCAGTCCAGGACACTTTCACCCCCTTCCAGTCTGGACTCTTTCACTCCCTTCCAGTCCGGGACACTTTCACCCCTTCCAGGCCGGACACTTTCACCCCCTTCCAGTCCAGGACACTTTCACCCCCTTCCAGTCTGGGACACTTTCACCCCCTTCCAGTCCAGGACACTTTCACCCCCTTCCAGTCCGGACACTCTCACCCCCTTCCTGTCCTGACTCTTTCACCCCCTTCCAGTCCAGGACACTTTCACTCCCTTCCAGTCCAGGACACTTTCACCCCCTTCCAGTCCAGGACACTCTCTCACCCCCTTCCAGTCCAGGACACTTTCACCCCCTTCCAGTCCAGGACACTTTCACCCCCTTCCAGTCCAGGACACTTTCACCCCCTTCCAGTCCGGACACTTTCACCCCCTTTCAGTCCAGGACACTTTCACCCCCTTCCAGTCCGGACACTTTCATCCCCTTTCAGTCCAGGACACTTTCACCCCTTTCAGTCCAGGGCACGTTCACCCCCTTCCAGTCCGGACACTTTCACCCCCTTCCAGTCCAGGGCACGTTCACCCCCTTCCAGTTCGGACACTTTCACCCCCTTCCAGTCCAGGACACTTTCACCCCCTTCCATCAAGGACACTTTCACCCCCTTCCAGTCCAGGCCGATTTTCAGATTGCAGCGCTATCACACTTTGAGTGACAATTACTCAATCATGCAACACTGTACCCATATGAAACGTTTATAATTTTTTTGAGACAGATAGGACTTTCTTTTGGTAGTAATCACCACTGGGGTTTATTTTTTATTTTTTGCTAAGTAAATGAAATGATATCGAAAATTAAAAAAAAAAACAAACAAAAACGTTTTTTGCTATAAAAGTTTGCAAATAAATATTCTTTTATAATGTAGGCCAAAATGTATTCTGCTACATTTGTGGGAGTAGAAATAACCCAAAACTGTATATTATTTAGTCTGTGTGAAGGTTACAGAGTCTGCAAACTATGGGATATATATCTGAAAATTGATCAGTTGAGACCCTAAAATGCTGGACACTGGTATGATGTTTGGCAGTGATCAGGACGCTGGTATGGTGCATGGCGGAGATCGGGACGCTGGTATGAGGTATGGAGGTGATCAGGATGCTGGTATGGGGTATGGTGGTGATCAGGACGCTGGTATGGTGCATGGCGGAGATCGGGACGCAGGTATGGTGTATGGAGGTGATCAGGATGCTGGTATGAGGTATGGAGGTGATCAGGATGCTGGTATGAGGTATGGAGGTGATCAGGTTGCTGGTATGGTGTATGGCGGAGATCGGAACGCTGGTATGGTGTATGGCGGTGATCAGGATGCTGGTATGGGGTATGGTGGTGATCAGGGTGCTGGTATGGGGTATGGCGGTGATGAGGATGCTGGTATGGTGTATGGCGGTGATCAGGACGCTGGTATGGGGTATGGCGGTGATCGGGATACTGGTATGAGGTATGGCGGTGATGAGGATGCTGGTATATGGTGTATGGCGGTGATCAGGACGCTGGTATGGTGTATGGCGGTGATCGGGACGCAGGTATGGTGTATGGCGGTGATCGGGACGCAGATATGGTGTATGGCGGTGATCGGGACGCAGGTATGGTGTATGGCGGTGATCGGGACGCTGGTATGGTGTATGGCGGTGATCGGGACACTGGTATGGTGTATGGCGGTGATCGGGACCCAGGTATGGTGTATGGCGGTGATCAGGATGCTGGTATGGGGTATGGTGGTGATCAGGACGCTGGTATGAGGTATGGCGGTGATGAGGATGCTGGTATGGTGTATGGCGGTGATCAGGACGCTGGTATGGTGTATGGCGGTGATGAGGATGCTGGTATGGTGTATGGCGGTGATCGGGACGCAGGTATGGTGTATGGTGATCAGGACGCTGGTATGGTGTATGGTGATCAGGACGCTGGTATGGTGTATGGCGGTGATCGGAACGCTGGTATGGTGTATGGCGGTGATGAGGATGCTGGTATGGTGTATGGCGGTGATGAGGATGCTGGTATGGTGTATGGCGGTGATGAGGATGCTGGTATGGTGTATGGCGGTGATGAGGATGCTGGTATGGTGTATGGCGGTGATCGGGACGCAGGTATGGTGTATGGTGATCAGGACGCAGGTATGGTGTATGGTGATCAGGACGCTGGTATGGTGTATGGCGGTGATCGGAACGCTGGTATGGTGTATGGCGGTGATGAGGACACTGGTATGGTGTATGGCGGGGATCGGAACGCTGGTATGGTATGGTGCATGGCGGTGATGAGGATACTGGTATGGGGTATGGCGGTGATCAGGACGCTGGTATGGTGTATGGCGGTGATCGGAACGCTGGTATGGTGCATGGCGGTGATCAGGATGCTGGTGTGGCGGTGGTATGAGGCAGGGGTGGACTGACAACTCATGGGGCCCCCCGGGCAATAGGGGATCATGGGGCCCCTGTGTCCTTGCCCAAACTCAAAAAAGCCTATGAAAAAGGTACCAGGGGCATCTCATGGGGCCCCCTACGGACCTCGGGGCCCTTGGGCAGTGCCTGAGTTTCCAAATGGTCAGTCTGCCACTGGTATGAGGTATGGCAGTGATCAGGACGCTGGTATGGTGTATGATGGTGATCAGGACGTTGATATGGGGTATGGTGGTGATCAGGATGCTGGTATATATGTTTACTTCAGAGTACACTGAAGTACTCTGGAAAAAAAAAAAAAATATATGGGCAGCACAGTGACTAAATGGTTAGCTCTTCCGCCTGGCAGTACTGGGGTAGTTGGTTTGAATCCCAGCAACGACACCACCTGCCTGGAGTTTGCATGTTCTCCCTGTGCCTGCGTGGGTTTCCTCAGGGTATTCCGGTTTCCTCCCACACTCCAAATACATGCTGGTAGGTGAATTGGCTCCTGTCTTAATTGTCCCTAGTATGTGTATGTATGAATGTGAGTTAGGGACCTTAGATTGTACACCCCTTGAGGGTTAGGGACTGATGTGAATGTACAATATACAGTTGCAAGAAAAAGTATGTGAACCCCTTGGGATTACGTGGAGTTTTGCATGAATTGGGCATAAAATGTGCTCTGAACGTCATCTAAGTCACAACAATAGAAGAACACAGTCTGCTGAACATAATACTACACAAACATTAGATGTTGCCATGGTTTAATTGCACATAACATGTAAACATTCACAGTGCAGGGAGGAAAAAGTATGTGAACCTTTGATTTAATAACTGATTGACCCTCCTTTGGCAGGAATAACCTCAACCAAACGTTTCCTGTAGTTGCAGATCAGACCTGCACAACGATCTGGAGTCATTTTGGACCACTCCTCTTCACAAAATTGTTTCAGTGTAGAAATATTCTTGGGATGTCTGGTGTGAATCGCTCTCTCTTAAGGTCATGCCACAGCATTTCAATCGGGTTGAGGTCAGGACTCTGACTGGGCCACTCCAGAAGGCGTATTCTGTGCTGTGGCAGCCATTGTTTTGAAGAATTACTTGTATGCTTTGGGTCATTGTCCTGTTGCATCACCCATCCTCTGCGGAGCTTCAGTTGGCGGACAGATGGTCGTACGTTTTCCTGCAAAATGTCTTGATAAACTCTGGAATTCATTTTCCCATCAATGACAACAATCCGTCCAGGCCCTGAGGCAGCAAAGCAGCCCCAAACCATGATGCTCCCTCCGCCATGTTTTACAGTGGGGATGAGGTTTTGATGTTGCTGTGCTGTGCCTTTTTTTCTCCTCACATAGTGTTGTGTGTTCTTCCCAAACAACTCAATCTTGGTTTCATCTGTCCACAGTATATTTTGCCAGTAGTGCTGTGGAACATCCAGGTGCTCTTTTGCAAACTTCAAACGTGCTACAATATTCTTTTTGGACAGCAATGGCTTCCTCCGTGGTGTCCTCCCATGTACTCCATTCTTGTTTAATGTTTTCCTTATTGTAGATGTGTCAACAAAAATGTTAGCATGTGCCAGAGATTTCTGTAGGTCTTTAGCTGACACTCTGGTATTCTTCTTTACCTCATGCAGCATTCTGCGCTGTGCTCTTGCAGTCATTTTTACAGGACGACCACACCTAGGGAGAGTAGCAACAGTGCTAAACTTTCTCCATTTGTAGACAGTCTGTCTTACCGTGGACACATGAACATCAAGGCTTTTGGAGATACTTTTGTAACCCTTTCCAGCTTCATGCAAGTCAACAATTCTTGATCGTAGGTCTTCTGAGAGCTCTTTTCTGCGAGGCATGGTTCACATCAGAGAGTGCTTCTTGAAACCAGTAAACCCAAAACAGGTGTGTGTTTTTTAAGGGCAGGACAGCTGTCAGCAACACATCCAATATCATCACACTGATTGGAGTCAAGGTTGGCTCACTCCTGGCTCCAATTAGCTATGGGAGAAGTCATTAAGCTAGGGACTCACATACTTTTTCCTCCCTGCACTGTGAATGTTTACATGTTATGTGCAATTAAACCATGGGAACATCTAATGTTTGTGTAGTATTATGTTCAGCAGACTGTGTTCTTCTATTGTTGTGACTTAGATGAGGTTCAGAGCACATTTTATGCCCAATTCATGCAAAACTCCACGTAATCCCAAGGGGTTCACATACTTTTTCTTGCAACTGTATATGTAAAGCGCTGATATATAAGTACTTGAAATAAATAAATACATTTTATATATTTTTTTTTAACATGCTGTCACCAGTCAGTTGCCCTGATCACGGCACACCAGTCATATCATGATGCTGTACTGCGCTGGTGATGGTATGCAAAAAAATATTTATGTAATTTCTTCATTTTCCAAAATCTTAAAAAACTCCCCATGCCTCTAAATACTACTACTGTTCCAAAAAAGGGATAATTTGGGGGGTATTTATACTGTTCTGACATTTTAGGGCCCCAAAAAATGAGATTGACCGTCAGTACATCAGAACTGATCAATTTTCAAATATACTGTATATCCCATAGTTTGCGGACACTATAACCTTCCTACAGATTAAGTCATATACACTTATTGGATTATTTTGCCAAAGAAATGTAGCAGAACACATTTTGGTCTAAATTTATGAAGAAATTTGAGGGTTTATTTATGGTTTTATAACAGAAAATATATTTTTTTTCTACATTTTCAGTCTTTTTTAATTTATATCATAAAAAATAAAAACCCAGCGGTGATCAAATACCGCTAAAAGACAAATCTATTTGTATGAAAAAGTATATAAATTATATTTGTATACAGCATTGCATGACTGCGCAATTACCAGTTAAATTAGTGCAGTGCTGAATAGCAAAAAATGCCTTGGTCATGAAGGGAGTAAAATTTGGCAGAGCTGAGTGGTTAAAGAGGAGTTCCACTCAAAAGTGGAAGCTCAGCTTATTTGCCTCCCTCCACCCCCCCTCCACTGCCATATTTGGCACCTTTTGGGGGGGAGGGGGGAGCGAGTACCTGGTTTTGACAGGTACCCGCTCCCACTTCTGGCTCAGTTTTCCACGGTGAAGTGAGCCAGAAGTTCGTCACCCTCCTCCCTCCCGCAGTCTCCTGGGAGCTTTCACAGGTCCCAGGAGACTGCCGGGCCAATCAAGAAGCAGTGTACATCTCAGGCACAGGGGCGGACTGACCATTTGGAAACTCGGGCATTGCCCGAGGCCCCGGGGTCAGTAGGGGGCCCCATGAGATGCCCCTGGTAACTTTTTCATAGGCTTTTTTGAGTTTGGGCAAGGGCACAGGGGCTCCATGATCCCCTATTGCCCAGGGGCCCCATGAGTTGTCTGTCTGCCCCTGCTCAGGCATGCGCCGTTTTCACCAGGCTGTGAAGCCGCACAGTAGAAATGCCGGCGCCGTGGAGGAGAGAAGGAGAGAAGGAACGGCGCGGGTAAGTACCAGGGGCGGACTGACAACTCATGGGGCCCCCAGGCAATAGGGGATCATGGGGCCCCTGTGTCCTTGCCCAAACTCAAAAAAGCCTATGAAAAAGGTACCAGGGGCATCTCATGGGGCCCCCTACTGACCCCGGGTTTCCAAATGGTCAGTCCGCCCCTGGACCCCGGAACAGGTAAGTACAGTGCATCCAGAAAGTATTCCCAGCGCTTAACTTTTGCTACATTTTGTTATGTTACCGCCTTTTTCTGAAATGGATTAAATTCATTTTTTTCTTCAACATTCTACAAACAATATACCATAATCACAACATGAAAGAAGTTCGTTTTGAAATCTTTGCAATTTATTAAAAATAAAAAACAAAAAAAACCCCCCATGTACATAAAAGTGGGAACACATGATTAGAAAATCGACCGATCTGTCATCCGGCGACCGAGAGGCGTCCGTTCGTTGGTCGAAATCGTGGCCCACATTAACCAATCTAAAAAATCGTGCGTCGGGCAATACGTAGTGTTGAAGTCTTCCATACAAGTGGAAGTGATGCAGTGTGCATGTGACCTTTTAGCCACGCCCTTCCGGCCAGAACGAGCGATATGCACAACAATTACCAGCAATGAGTATAATATTGTTTATTCCATGACCTATATACATAAATAGTGATACATAAAATATAATCTGCAGAATTCTGGTTTCATGATCTCATTCGGCCAATCTACTTTTACCATTTGGATTTTTCGTTCGTGTTTATGAAGATTCCTTGGACACTAACATCCGGGTCATCTTCTGTTTCTGCTCATGCGTGATAGCGTCTGATAGATTTTTTTCGTACAACCGTCATACCACCGCATAGAAAATCGGTTGTTCGTATGCAAAACGACAAAATTTTCTGTTGTTCAACCGGATTTTTTTCATTCACAATATCATTAAAAACATCCCGCTTATCAACGAAGAGAAAATCGTTCGATCAGTGGTTCCACTAAATTTTTCGTACAATTTTCTTATCGTGTGTACGGGGCATAAGTCTTCCCAGCCTTTGCCATGGCACTCAAAATTGAGATCTGGTGCATCCTGTTCCCACTGATCATCCTTGAGATGTTTCCACAACTTGATTGGAGTCCACCTGTGGGACATTCAGTTGATTGGAGTCCACCTGTGGGACATTCAGTCGATTGGAGTCCACCTGTGGGACATTCAGTCGATTGGAGTCCACCTGTGGGACATTCAGTCGATTGGAGTCCACCTGTGGGACATTCAGTCGATTGGAGTCCACCTGTGGGACATTCAGTCGATTGGAGTCCACCTGTGGGGAATTCAGTTGATTGGAGTCCACCTGTGGGACATTCAGTTGACTGGAGTCCACCTGTGGGGAATTCGAATGATTGGAGTCCACCTGTGGGGAATTCAGTTGATTGGAGTCCACCTGTGGGACATTCAGTTGATTGGAGTCCACCTGTGGGACATTCAGTTGATTGGAGTCCACCTGTGGGGAATTCAGTTGATTGGAGTCCACCTGTGGGACATTCAGTTGATTGGAGTCCACCTGTGGGGAATTCAGTTGATTTGAGTCCACCTGTGGGGAATTCAGTTGATTGGAGTCCTACCTGTGGGACATTCAGTTGATTGGAGTCCACCTGTGGGGAATTCAGTTGATTGGAGTCCACCTGTGGGGAATTCAGTTGATTGGAGTCCACCTGTGGGACATTCAGTTGATTGGAGTCCACCTGTGGGGAATTCAGTTGATTGGAGTCCACCTGTGGGGAATTCAGTTGATTGGAGTCCACCTGTGGGAATTCAGTTGATTGGAGTCCACCTGTGGGGAATTCAGTTGATTGGAGTCCTCCTGTGGGGAATTCAGTTGATTGGAGTCCACCTGTGGGGAATTCAGTTGATTGGAGTCCACCTGTGGGGAATTCAGTTGATTGGAGTCCACCTGTGGGGAATTCAGTTGATTGGAGTCCACCTGTGGGGAATTCAGTTGATTGGAGTCCACCTGTGGGGAATTCAGTTGATTGGAGTCCACCTGTGGGGAATTCAGTTGATTGGAGTCCACCTGTGGGGACATTCAGTTGATTGGAGTCCACCTGTGGGACATTCAGTCGATTGGAGTCCACCTGTGGGACATTCAGTCGATTGGAGTCCACCTGTGGGACATTCAGTCGCTTGGAGTCCACCTGTGGGACATTCAGTCGATTGGAGTCCACCTGTGGGACATTCAGTCGATTGGAGTCCACCTGTGGGGACATTCAGTTGATTGGAGTCCATCTGTGGGGAATTCAGTTGATTGGAGTCCACCTGTGGGGAATTCAGTTGATTGGAGTCCACCTGTGGGGAATTCAGTTGATTGGAGTCCACCTGTGGGGACATTCAGTTGATTGGAGTCCACCTGTGGGACATTCAGTTGATTGGAGTCCACCTGTGGGACATTCAGTCGATTGGAGTCCACCTGTGGGGAATTCAGTTGATTGGAGTCCACCTGTGGGACATTCAGTTGATTGATGTCCACCTGTGGGACATTCAGTTGATTGGAGTCCACCTGTGGGACATTCAGTTGATTGGAGTCCACCTGTGGGGAATTCAGTTGATTGGAGTCCACCTGTGGGGAATTCAGTTGATTGGAGTCCACTTGTGGGGAATTCAGTTGATTGGACATGATTAGGAAAGTCATAAACCTGTCTATAGAAGGTCCCACAGGTAACAGTCCATGTCAGAGCACAAACCAAACCATGAAGACCAAGGAATTGTCCGTAGACCTCCGAGACAGGATTGTATCAAGGCACAGATCTGGGGAAGGGTACAGAAAAAAGTCTGCAGAATTGAAGATCCCAATGAGCACAGTGGCCTCCATCATCCATAAATGGAAGAAGTTTGGAACCACCAGGAATCTTCCTAGAGCGGGCCGCCCCGCCAAAATGAGCTATTGAGGGAGAAGGGCCTTAGCCAGGGAGGTATCCAAGCATCCGATGGTCTCTCTGAAAGAGCTCAAGTGTTTCTCTGTGGAGAGAGGAGAGCCTTCCAGAAGAACAATCATCTCTGCAGCACTCCACCAATCAGGCCTGTATGGTAGAGGATGGGGGCAGTAAAAATGTGCAGCTGAGCTGCATTTTTACTGCCTCCCAACTCCCCCCTCCCCCCTTTGGGAAAGGGGTGTGTACATGTTATAGTTGCAATGGCTGGCTTTGCGTCGCCGGCAAAAACTGTGCTGCTATTGGCAGGTGGCAAGCTTGCAGAACGCGACCTATTCAAACAAATGGGGAAGCACCACAAGCACTCCTGATTGCAAAAAAAAGGCCATGAGGAGGCATCACACCGCCTCCTCCCTGCCTGCCAATCACCAATCACATCTGAAAAGTAATCTGAAGGTGGATTGCTCTTCAGAGGAGCTGCTTTTTTTTTTTTTTTTTAGACACGCCTCTAGATCTAGCCTTCAGTAGGAGAGTGGTAAAAATGCAAACGGCAGTGGATGGGGGTGATTACATGCTCAGTAGCGATGCATAGTGTCTGCTGCAAACATGTTGCGATGGGGGGGGGGGGGAGGGGGGGGGGGCCGGGGGGGGGGGGGGGGGGGGGGGTGGGGGGGCGGTGGGCGACCAGCCCTCCAAATGCAATCCATTCAAGCAAACAGGGAAGTGGACCATTGCATGCAATGCACACGGATGCGTTGCGGTTCTCAGCAAACATGTGGTGAAAAGGTGCCACATGGTATCCTTACTGCCTGTCAACCACCTCTGAAAAGCAATGCAAGCTTGGATCACCCTTCAGAGCAATGGCAGATTTAGAAGCGCCTGAACCCAGCCTTATACATTGATAAAAGTAACCAGTTTGGATGTTTCAGAATTGTAATAGTCATTGATCTACAGTAAGTAGCTAAGGCATTAGCGCCACCAAGTGGAAGTTCTGATCAGTACAGGAGCTATTCATCCAGCCAACACGTTGGGCAAGGGTACTGGAGTCTGATTTTTCGGTGCTCCCGGTGAAAATCATTATAATAAATACCAGTGACTGATCACTGAGATTATACAACAGAACTGCTTCTAAGAAATGTTAGAAGAGGCAGTAAGCTGATTAACTTTTAGTCCAACAGCAATGCTCAACTTCTCTTAAACTCCAGGCTAACATCTTAATACACAGATGATTTACTGTACATATATGGAAGCCGTTTTACCTACCAAAGGATTTGCATTCCTGTCCATCCAGTTCTGAGATTTACACAGCTCTGCCATCCAACAAAGGCCGATGCGACAGATGAGGAGACCTGATTTTTCTATGCTGCAGTTTAATAACACATACAGGTCCCCTTCCCCAGCTTGTGATTGGACCGTGAAAGGAGAAGTGGCAAACTTATGAGCTCACCTCTCTGGCACTCTGCTCCTCCTATCATTTGCTCTTTGAACAGCAGCATAACGGATTGGCTCCTTGTGCTACTTCTCCCGCCCTCAGTCTGAGTTTGTATATAAGGGGACTGCGATAGGCCGATACCACGTCAAATTCAGATAATTATACTGCTTGAATTAGAAAAAAAATAGGGGTCACTTAAATCAAAGCATGGCAAAGCATTGCACGTGTTATTGCAAAATGCAGCAATTCTGTTCGATGAGTTGCGGTGTCATTCAATCGGAACACTCCCCATACCCCATCCTCCCACCACATCCCCTGCACTCTATTTTCAAATCACCCCACGCCTCCACCAACTAATTTATGGAGTCCCATAAGCCAATCTTCCACCTATTAATCATTGTCTATCAGTAATACAGGATCCTTTCCACTCCACTGTCCATTCTATTGGAGTCTGACATCCCATTCCCCTCTATCTTCCCTCCCCCAAGGTTGACTTTTCCCAACCAAGGATCCTCCAGAGGCTGCTAGGGGTTCCTTGAGCAATGAGCAATTGTGGCCTTTCATAAGCAACCACTGACTTTTCAGTTATATGTAACAGGGATAATTTACCTCTGACCACGAATGGAAGGGACAGTCTTCCCACTGACCCCCAATGTAAGGGACAGTCTTCCCACTGACCCCCAATATAAAGGGAAGTCTTCCCACTGACCCCCAATGTAAGGGACAGTCTTCTCATTGACCCCCAATATAAAGGGAAGTCTTCCCACTGACCCCCAATGTAAGGAGCATTTTTCCCACTGACCCCCAATGTAAGGAGCATTTTCCCCATTGACCCCCAATGAAAGGAGCATTCTTCCCACTGACCCCCAATGTAAGGGACATTCTTTCCACTGCCCCCCCAATGTAAGGAGCATTCTTTCCACTGGCCCCCCAATGTAAGGAGCATTCTTTCCACTGACCTCCAATGTAAGAAGCATTCTTTCCACTGACCACCAATGTAAGGAGTATTCTCACTGACCACCAATGTAAGGAGCATTCTTCTCACTGACCTCCCAATATAAGGGGAATTCTTCCCACTGACCTCCCAATATATGGAGCATTCTTCCCACTGACCTCCAGTGTATGCAGCATTGTTCTCACTGACCCCCAATAAGGAGCATTCTTCCCACTGACACCCAATATAAGGGGAATTCTTCCCAATAACCCCCCAATATAAGGCACATTCTTTCCACTGACCACTAATGTAAGAAGCATTCTTAGAAACATAGAAAAATTACAGCAGAAAAAAGGTGAAAATGTAAAAGAAAAAAAAGTGATCCACTGAGTTTTTTTTTTTTTTTTAATATACAGGTCTTGAATGTTTTTTTCTGTATCTTTTTAGTTAACTTTTTTTGTCTGAGCATAGATCTATGTTTGTCCCACACATGTTTGAAGCCACTTACTGTTGACTGGCTCACTACCTCTGCTGGAAGTTTATTCCAAGCATCAAGTACCCTTTCAGTAAAATAGTACTTTCTGAGATTAGTTTTGAACTTTCCTCCACTTAGTTTGAGGTCATGTCCCCGTGTTCTTAATTTTGGTTTCATGTTGAAATCCTTCTCACCTGCACCTAATTCACCCCCTTGATGTATTTAAAGGTTCCAATCATGTCTCCCCTTTCCCTTCTTTGCTCCAGACTGGACATGTTAAGCTCCTGAAGTCACTCTTGATGTTTTATCCCCCAGACCTTTCACCATTTTTGTACCCGTCTCCTGACTCGTTCTATCCTATCAATATCTTTTTGTAAATGCAGTCTCCAGAACTTGTCACAGTATTCTAAATGAGGTATAACTAAAGATCTATATAGGGGAATCAGGACCTTCTTCCTCCTGCTGGTGACCCCTCTAGTGATGTAAAGATCTATATAGGGGAATCAGGACCTTCTTCCTCCTGCTGGTGACCCCTCTAGTGATGTAAAGATATATATAGGGGAATCAGGACCTTCTTCCTCCTGCTGGTGACCCCTCTAGTGATGTAAAGATCTATATAGGGGAATCAGGACCTTCTTCCTCCTGCTGGTGACCCCTCTAGTGATCCCTCTAGAAATCAATTTGCTTTCCCTGGCCACACACTGCTTATTTTGCAATCATCTGAAATAAGTACCCCCAAGTCCTTTTCCTCTGTAGTGCTGGCCAACACTGTACCCCCAATGTTGTACTCTCTCAAGGGATTCTTTTTCCCTAGGTGCAATTTTTAACATTTAGAAACCTTGATCTGCAATTTTCATTTCTTTTCTCTTCAATCTTCCAGCAATGCCAAATTATGTTCCACTTTAGAGAAATCTCCAGGCATATCAACCCTATGACACGCCTTTGTATCATCAGCAAAATGACATACCTTGCCCAACAAAACTTTAGTTATATCACTTACATATACTGTATATGGAACTGTAGATTACATAGAATAGGACCTAGTACAGAGCCTTGGGATACACCACTAGTAACTGGTCTCTGTTCTGAGTGAACCCCATTTACAACCACACTCTGGTGTCTATCCTTTAGGCAACTAAACAACCCAAGGCTTAAGTCCTAGGTTGTACAACTTTTGTATTAGTTCATTATGTGGAACTGTATCCAGTGCTTTGCTTAAATCAAGATGTCTACTGCTTTATTTTTACCACCAGAAACTACTGTAACTGATATGACGACCCCATCAGGCCTGTCCTTGGCAACATTGTCCCACTGACCCCAATGTAAGGAGCATTCTTCCAACTGACCACCAACGTAAGGAGCATTCTTCCCACTGATCACCAATGTAAGGAGCATTCTTCCCGCTGACCCACCAACGTAAGGAGCATTCTTCCCACTGACCACCAATGTAAGGAGTATTCTTCCCACTGACCACCAGTGTAAGGACATTCTTCCCATTGACCCCAATGTAAGGAGCATTCTTCTCACTGACCACCACGTAAGGAGCATTCTTCCCACTGACCACCAACGTAAGGAGCATTCTTCCCACTGACCCCCAATGTAAGGAGCATTCTTCCCACTGACCCCCAATGTAAGGAGCATTCTTCCCACTGACCACCAATGTAAGGAGTATTCTTCCCACTGATCACCAACGTAAGGGCATTCTTCCCACTGACCCCCAACGAAAGGGGCATTCTTCCCACTGACCCCAACGAAAGGGGCATTCTTCCCACTGACCCCCAACGGAAGGGGCATTCTTGACCCCCAATGGAAGGGGCATTCTTCCCACTGACCCCCAATGGAAGGGACATTCTTCCCACTGACCCCCAATGGAAGGAGCATTCTTCCCACTGACCAACAGCAAATACTTTTGTTGCACAGAGCAACTCTGATTGTCCAGTGTTCCACATACCTCATCCTTTTTTTTAAAATTCTGATAGCTCAGCTTACACATTACACCATAGGAACCCAACCTATGGCCTGTGGGCCACGTGTCCCTTGGAGCCCTTTGATTTGCCACTTTCTTTAAGTGCACCACACCTGCAAGATATAATAGAAGTCTACGTCAAAGTGCAGCTAACCCAGGAAAGTCACAGGTGCACTGAGCTGAACTTGCAGTGTGGGTAAACTGCAGAGCATCAGGACAGTAAGGGCTCATTTGTAGTTTGGGGGGCAGTAAAATACAATAGTTGAGACGTACTGTTAGCACACCACTTTGAACCAGTAGTGTATCATCAGGGGTCGCATTAGTGACCCAGCCCCCTGCTCCAGGGAGCCCCTACAGTCTCCCTGTCACTTTCAGGAACCTATCCTCTCCATTTTCCTCTTGCAACTGCTGAAAGCTGGCTTCTCCTCCCCTCCCTCTCGTTAAAAAAAAAAAAAAAATCAGCAGCTGCAGGAGGAAAATGTTTATTATGTTAAAAAAAATGTGAGATTCTGAACCATTTAATTTCATTGTGGTCCATGACTGGTTACCAAATCACTTAAGTGGCCCTCGCTTTTCAAAAGGTTGAGCACCCCTGCTTTAGACCAATGTTCTCTGAGCTGTAGATACCAACATGTAAGAAAAATATATTTGAAATATATTTTTAAAATATTCTTCCCAAATATATTGCCATATATTTGAAATGCCACAATTTTGGCCATATGCAATATATTTCAATAAATAAATACAAAAAAAAAATAATATATAATCTATATATACATATATATATATATATATATATATATATCTATATATATCACACGTTGAAATGCGTTTTTATTACAAAATATAAAAAATATTTTTAAAAGTACATTTCAAATATACTGTATTTCTTTAAAAATACAAATCTAAATTTCTTGAATGCATTTACAAATATATGTTAAAATGACTTTTTTAGATGTTAACTAGTTGCCGACCGCAGATAGCCGAATGACGGCTAAACTGTGGGCGGCCAGTTCTGAGTGGACGTCATATGACGTCCTCCCAGAACGCGCTCTCCTGCGCGCCCCAGGGGGCACGCACCCGGCGATCTCCGTGATCATGATCACGTGATCACAGCTGATCACGTGATGTGGTAAAAGGCCAATCATACCGGCCTTTTACCACGTGATCAGCGGTGTCCAATGACACGCTGATCACAGGGAAATGCAAGTGCCGGTTCTCGGCTGCACTTTCCTCACGCTGTCAGATCGTGAGGAAAGTACTGCCGAGAACTGGCAGTTGTCAGAGCGGGGATCGGCACCGATCATCAGGGCACTGATGATCAGTGCCCTGATGATGGGTGCCCAGCAATGCCACCCGCAAGTTCCGCCCACCTGTGCCCAGCAGTGCGTCCACTAGCTCCGCCCACCTGTGCCCAGTAGATCACCCACCTGTGCCCAGCAGTGCACCCACCTGTGCCACTCTGCAGTGTCACCCACCTGTGCCCAGAAGTGCCACCTACCTGTGCCCAGCAGTGCCACCCACCTGTGCCCACCCACCTGTGCCCACCAGTGCCACCCACCTGTGCCCACCCACCAGTGCTGCCCACCAGTGCCACCCACCAGTGCAGCCCAGCAGTGCTGCCAGTCAGTGCCCAGGGGTTGTGCCAGTCAGTGCCGCCAGTCAGTGCCCAGCAGTGATGCCAGTCAGTGCCGTCTATCAGTACCCATCATCAGTGTCACCTATCAGTGCCGCCCATCAGTGCTGCATATTAGTGCCGCCTATCCGTGACACCTCATTAGTGCTGTCTATCAGTGCCGCCTATCCGTGCCACCTCATTAGTACTGCCTATCAGTGCCCTTTAGTGCTGCCTATCAGTGCCCATCAGTGCCGCCTATCAGTGCCCATCAGTGCTGCCTCATCAACGCACATCAGTGAAGGAGAAAAAATACCTGTTTGAAAAATTTTATAATAGAAACAAAGAAACTTTTTTTTTTTTTTTCAAATTTTTTGCACTTTTTTTATTTATAGCGCAAAAAGTAAAGCGCCCAGTGGCGATTAAATACCACCAAAAGAAAGCTCTATTTGTGAGAAAAAAATGATCAAAATTTCATATGGGTACAATGTTGCATGACCGCGCAATTGTCAATCAAAGTGCAGCAGCGCTGAAAGCTGAAAATTGGCCTGGTAAGGAAGGGGGTATAAGTGCCTGGTAGGCAAGTGGTTAAAAAAAATCTGAAGACTATATTTTAAAAATATATATTTTTAAATTAGATTCTTCAGATTTTTTTAACATATAAAAAGTCATTTTAACATATACTTTTACATATATTTGTAAATGCATTCCAAAAATGTAGATTTTTATTTTTAAAGACATACAGTATATTTGAAATGTATTTTTAAAAATATTTTTCATATATTTTGTAATAAAAATGCAAGTGTGTGTGTGTGGCCATAATTGCAGTATTATTCAATATATTTTGGGAAAAATATTTTAAAAAAACATATGGCATATATTTGGGGAAAAATATGAACCCTTGACAAGTCTAATACATACACTTACTGTATACCCATATGGAAGAAAAATATATTTTTAAAATATTTTTCCCCAAATATATTGGCATATGTTTGAATAAAAAAAGTTGAGAAAAGCTGATCTATAGTAATCACTTGTATTACATTGTTATTAAACCTCTCTGGAATCTCTTGCTACAATGTATGATTATTATACTCAAAATTAATACAATACTTGTGGAATAAAAAAATAAATATGTTTCTATGAAAATCTGTAATCTAATAAAAAAAAAAGTAAAATAAACCCAAACTAAAAGGCATTTTAGTTTCCTGTTAGCTGACGTTTCTCAGCCTGAAGTGATTGCTGCGTCTGTCATTCTCCGGGTGAAGGGGTTAAGGATGCACGATTGCCACAGCGAAATCTTATTAAAATTCTTTGCATGGGGTTCCTGGGATAAGTGTATTTTCTATTTGTCTTAAACAATTACAGCAGCAATTTCATTTCAGCCAGAAGCGAATCAGCCGAGCGCAGCCTCTGGAAATAATAAGCGGAATGAGAGGGTTATTTTTTAATATAACAATGGCTCGCCTGTCTGGTGGAGCCAGGAATTCGGCATTATCAATCACCTGTACTTATTGCTTCTACGGGGGACAGGTTTGGGGGAAGAACGCAGGGGTGCGCAGAGGGCAACCAATAAATCAACTTCCCCCAAAAAATAAATTTAATTGGAAGGCTCAACAACAAAAGCTGAAGGGGATAAAGATGCAATACCTAGGTGAGTCACAGCATCATTGTCAGTAATAGAGCACATGGCTACAAACGTTACAGATAAACTCCACACAGATATAAAAATGAAAGCAGCTCTGTAATCATTATTACTTTGCAGAATTCAAACCAAAAATAACAAGATAAAAGCAAGCAGCCAATCAATCCAGTAATTACCCTTGCAGTATTTTTTTTTTGTCCACTAGATGTCCTCAGTCTGGTGGCCAGCATCATTCTACTCACTACTTTTGAGTCTAGCTAATCCCGGACAAGCCCCCAACTGATGACTGGACAGTGAAAGGAGAAGCAGCAGTGATGAGCTCATTTCTCTATCGCTCTTTCCTCCTATAAGGATGCTTCTTGACAGCATGTGAACTGATTGGCCCCTTGTGGTACTTCTATCTTTCACACACGAGCTCTGCTGTACAGGGACCACAAGAAGAGCCGATGCCAGCATGAGGGTGCCAGGATGGGGGGGCAGTAAAATCTGAATTCCCAGCAAGATTTTTACAATACATGTCTTCCGTTCCCTAACACTTCTCCCTCTCTCCTACCAGGTGCAGCATAGATGTTTTAGGTTGTCTTCTCTACCAGCTGCTCGTAGTCAGTGAAGGGAAGTTGGGAATGCATAATCCTGCATATGGAGGTGGGGGGGTCGCATTGTGGAGGGGAGAGGTGGCAGGAGGACAGGGGGCAGCAAAATACCCCTTCAACTGTGTAGACAAAAATCTTTGTATCGGCCCTTACCACAAGAGTCTGATACCAGGTCACATTTAGGCTTGCATTTAAAAAAGAAATTTTAATGACTACAGAGCAGCATCGTGGACCTGCCCCCACCTGCCCCCACCTGCGCCAAGCCTGATTTTAAGGTTCATATTCATAAAACTGTGAATCTGACAATCAGGAAACATTCTCTGCTGGTGAATCTTCCCTGCCCATGTCTTTTAAATGACAATAACTGATTCTCTAACAGAGAATTGCTGAAAGTCTCCTTTGCTACTATATAACTAGACCCCTAAGCAGGGGCGGACTGACCATTTGGAAACTGGGGCACTGCCCAAGGGCCCGGGGTCAGTAGGGGGCCCCATGAGATGCCCCTGGTACCTTTTCATAGGCTTTTTTGAGTTTGGGCAAGGACACAGGGACCCCATGATTCCCTATTGCCCGGGGACCCCATGAGTTGTCAGACCGCCCCTGCCCCTAAGTGTTCGCATAGGGGGTGAATGTTAGAGTTTAGGTCAAAGCCAAACTGTAATTACCCCACATTGGGCATAGTAACAGGTTCCCTTGAATGCTCCCCTCCCCAGCAACACATACAGCGCTAACCTTACCTTCACTGTCTGCCACCACCATGGACAAAACAGATATTTATGGGGCCTTTTTATAAATAATTAATTGTACAAAAGTCTCATCATTCACACAGCTGCTACAAAATATACCGCAATATGGCCACTAGATGGCACTTACGATCAGAAGAAATAGATATTAGACAAAATATGGCCATTTTTTTTTGTTGTGGCTGTACAAATGTTTTATTGGTGGATTCCTAAGACTTTCCACGCCTTTGTTTTGCTGCAGCTGGAATTTATACTGATATACTTCATACTGATCTGTTTTTCAGTTAAAAAAAGAGCTGTTAAAATGTGAAACCGCTCATCAGCGTGTTCAGCCCCATATGGAAGAAAAATATATTTGAAATATATTTTAAAAATATTCTTCCCAAATATATTGACATATATTTGAAATGCTACAATTTTGGCCGTATTCAATATATTTCAAAAAAAAAAATATATATATATATATATATATTCATATTCAATAGAGAAGATGGGACAAAAAGTTATAATTTTTATATCATATTTTTATTTATTTTTGTATTGAATATTTGCAATTTTAAGGGATGTGGCGCAGATCGCCCATTTGCACTTCACTGTTTTTTATATATATATATATATATATATATACTGCATGTTGAAATGCATTTTTATTACAAAATATATGAAAAATATTTTTAAAAATACATTTCAAGTATACTGTATGTCTTTAAAAATACAGATCTACATTTTTGGAATGCATTTAAAAATATATGTTAAAATTACTTTTTTCTATATTAAAAAAAATCTGAAGAATATATTTAAAAAAAACATATTTTTAAAAAATATATATTTTTTAAATATATTCTTCAAATATTTTTTAACATATATGCCATGTGGTCCTGGTCATAGTACACTAAACTGTTCCCAGGCATGGTTCAGAGCACTCACATCACACGACCCTGACCAAGGGGGTTCAAACTGCCACCGTGAGCGCTCCATAAGCCTTTATGTTGTGGAGAACAGGCTAGTGTGATGGTTTGAGTAGTTCAGCAAAAGACGACTGGGCAGGGCTGACACCACATAAATATGTGTATATTCAACCCACAACATTGACTTAGTAGATGATTGCATATCTGGCAGATCGACAGGTATTTGCAGGGTCTTTAAAGCGGAGCTCCACCCAAAAGGGGAAGTTCCACTTTAAGCCTTTGCCCCCCGCTCCCCATTAAGGATTGGCACCTTTGGGGAGCGGGTACCCAAATTTGATAGGTACCCGCTCCCACTTCTGCTGCGATCACTTGGCGATCGGAAGCAGAAGTTGTCCTCCCTCCCCGTAGTCTTCTGGGACACGTGACAGGTCCCAGAAGACTACGGGGCCATTCACAAAGGGCAGCACTTCTCGCGCATGCGCAACAGACACCCGGCTGTGAAGCCGCAAGCAGTCACAGCCGGGTGCCCACACTGAAGATGCCGGCGTCAGGGAGAGAAGACGGCTGGTGAAACCAGGGATGGTGAGGACACCTCTGGACCGAGGAACAGTTAAGGTTCTGTATTTTAAAAGTCAGCAGCTACAGTTTTTGCTGTTTTAGGTGGAACTCCGCTTTAACGGCAGAAAACCTGTTTGTATTGCACATGATTTTTTTTGTGCTGCTTGATATTTTCACCAGCTACACATCTCCTGTGTCATTGTCTCCCTCTTGTGATCATAAGGAGAATTACATGATCCATATCAGAAACTATGATTTACTAAAACTGCAGCGTACAAACTCTGGTGCAGCTCTGCATAGAAACCAATCAGCTTCCATGTTTTATTGGCAAAGCTTAACTGAACAAGCTGAAGTTAGAAGCTGATTGGCCGCCATGCACAATTGCACCAGATTCTGAGCGCTCCGGTTTTAGTGAACCTCCCCCAAAGTGTTACATACTGAAGACAATGTAAGTAAAATAGTTTTTTTTGACTACCAAGCACCACCCAGGGCAAAATGAGTGCAAACGCCCTAATAAACATTTACCCTAGGTTCACATCTGTGTGGGTGGTGCTGCTGCCGATCCACACGAAAATCCGTGCAGGCTCACCACCCACACAGAGGAATGCGGACCCGCGGGAAGGTGCCATTAGTTCTAATGATACGCTGCCCGCAGTAAAAAACACAACCGTACTGGGAACCGAGGTTTCTGTGCAGGCTGCATTTCGGAAGTGCAGGGACTCCTTCCCTGCGTGTCACAGGGAACGGGAGTCCATTCAAATAAATGGGCTCTTGTGCCCCTGCAAAACGCGGACCGCATATATGTGAACCAGGGGTTAGGCTTCATGCACACTGGGGGGGGGGGCATTTTCCTACATTTTTCCGCATGTGCGTTTTTTGCGTTTCCCCCAAATTTTTGTTTTGGTAAAAAAAAGTCCAAAAATGCCAGTTTGCGGTGTTTTACTGCGTTTGGCAGCATTTTTTTAGCGTTAGAGCATTTTTACAGTTAAAAATCTCCTTTAGAAGCCACTAGTCCTGGGGGTTTTTTTTTCCAGCCACAAAACGTTGATTGCAGTATATGTGTGTGGACACATATGGATAACACGGGGATGGACACATAGGATAACACGGGGCACGGGGTAACACGCCGGGGATGGACACATAGGATAACACGCCGGGGATGGACACATAGGATAACACGCCGGGGATGGACACATAGGATAACACGCCGGGGATGGACACATAGGATAACACGCCGGGGATGGACACATAGGATAACACGCCGGGGATAGGATAACATAACATAGGATAACACGATGGGGGGATAACACGCCGGGGACACATACGCCGGGGATGGATAACACGCCGGGGATGGACACACATAGGATAACACGCCGGGGATGGACACATACCAGGCCGGGGATGGACACATAGGATAACACGCCGGGGACACATAGGGACACATAGGATAACAGGCCGGGGATAACACGCCGGGGGACACATAGGATAACACGCCGGGGATAGGGACACATAGGATAACATGCTGGGGGATGGACACATAGCCGGGGATGGACAAGGAAAATGCTGGGGATGGACACATAACATGCTGGGGGGGTTACTAGCTGTAGAAGAAAATTGTCAAACAGCCAAACTCAGCGGGGATGGACAACTGTAAAAAACTTAATATATTGGCAATAATTCACTAAAGCTTATCGCATGAGTTAAGTCAGTCACATGACCACATATCACATGTGATACTGAAAATGTCAACTCACTATTGCTAGTACGCGGTATTTACCGAAAATAACAAAAACACTCGGTAAATACCGCATAAAAAAGACCTTAAAAGTCAATTCACAATTAAATAAATAATTAAATGCATGCTTTCATTAAGTAGTGGTCCAGGCATGCGGTATGTACTGGCATGGTCCGGGGTGGACTGACAACTCATGGGGCCCCCTGGCAATAGGGGATCATGGGGCCCCTTTGTCATCTTCCACACTCAAACCACACCCAAAAAAGCCTATGAACGATACCAGGGACATCTCATGGGGCCCCCTACTGACCCCAGGCCCTCGGGCAGTGCCCGAGTACCCGAATAGTCAGTCTGCCCCTGGGCACGGTATGTACCGGCATCTGTCAGTACTGTCATGGGTTGTTAAGGAATGGGTGGCCGCTGAGTTTCTACTAACAACCTACGAGTCATCAGCTGTCAGTGGGTTCCCCACTGACAGCTGAATGTGAGAAAAAAAATTGCCAACAACTAAACATTTTTTTAAAAAATGACGTGGGGTCCCCCCCAAAATCCATACCAGACCCTGATCTGAGCATGCAGCCTGGCAGGTCAGGAAAGGGGGGGATGATCTAGTGCCCCCCCTCCTGAACCATGCCAGGCCACGTGCCCTCAACATGGGGAGGGTGCTTTGGGGCAGGGGGGCTTCGCGATTGACGTTGGATCTACTTCGGGGGACATTCTATCATTTTCCTTCTTTTAATAAACGTCAAAGACTGTCTCCTGTCTTTCTTCACTCTACAGGTTTTTTTTTGTGAATGGGTAATGGTACCATTTACCCCATACTCATTCACATGGGGGGGGGGGGGGCGTTATCTGGGGGCCCCCTTGCTGAAGGGGGCTTCCAGATTCCGATAAGCCCCCTGCCTGAAAACCCCCATACCACAGCCCAGGGTTGTGGGCAAGAGGCCTTTGTCCCCCCCCAACGTATCCCCCCATGTTGAGGACATGTGACCTGGTATGCCTCAGGAGGGGGGGGGGTGCTTGTTCATCCCCCCCCTTTCCTGACTTGCCAGGCTGCATGTTCAGATAAGGGTCTGATATGGATTTTGGGGGGGGGGGCACACCATTTTTTTTTAAATTTTTGCGTGGGAGTTCCCCTCAAAATCCATACCATACCTGAAGGGCTTGGCTTGGATGGAGGGGGGACCCCATGTCGTTTTCTTCTTATTTTTTAATTGCCAGCAATTCTTTTACATTCAGCTGTCAGTGGGGAACCCTGTAATCAATGTTTTTTGGGCTTCTAAAGGAGTTTCTTAGCTGTAAAAATGCTCTAACGCTGAAAAACGTGGCAAGACGCGGTAAAACACCGCAAACTGGCGTTTTTAGACTTTTTTTTACCAAAAAAAAAATTGGGGTAACAAAAACACTAAAAAATACAAACGCGGAAAAATGCCGCTAATCGTGCCAAACCGTCGTTAAACGCTAATGCAAAAATGCTAAAAAAAGTGGAAAAAACTCACATTTTTAACGTGACTTTACATAGCTAACGTTACCAGTGTTATCAAAACGTCCCGTGTGTATGAGGGCTTACAGCTAAAAAACTCCTCTAGAAGTCCACTAGTTCTGGGGTTTTTTCCAACCATAAAAAGCTGATTCCAGTCTAGGTGTGTATGGACACATAGGATAACATGCCGGGGATGGACACATAGGATAACACGCCGGGGATGGACACATAGGATAACATGCCGGGGATGGACACATAGGATAACACGCCGGGGATGGACACATAGGATAACACGCCGGGGATGGACACATAGGATAACATGCCGGGGATGGACACATAGGATAACACGCCGGGGATGGACAGGATAACACGCCGGGGATGGACACATAGGATAACACGCCGGGGATGGACACATAGGATAACATGCCGGGGATGGACACGTAGGATAACACGCTGGGGATGGACACATAGGATAACACGCGGGGATGGACACATAGGATAACACGCCGGGGATGGACACACAGGATAACACGCCGGGGATGGACACATAGGATAACACGCCGGGGATGGACACACAGGATAACATAGGCCGGGGATGGACACATAGGATAACATGCGGGGGGATAGGGACACACAGGATAACACGCTGGGGATGGACACACAGGGGATGGACACACAGGATAACACGCCGGGGATGGACACACAGGATAACACGCCAGGGATGGACACACATGATGGGGATGGACACACAGGATAACATGATGGGGATGGACACACAGGATAACACGCCGGGGATGGACACACAGGATAACACGCTGGGGATGGACACACAGGATAACACGATGGGGATGGACACACAGGATAACACGCCGGGGATGGACACACAGGATAACACGATGGGGATGGACACGTAGGATAACATGCTGGGATGGACACGTAGGGATGGACACACAGGATTGGGGATGGACACATAGGATAACATGATGGGGGGACATGGACACATTGGATACATGAGGGGATGGGGACACATAGGATAACACGCCGGGGATGGACACATTGGATTACATGATGGGGATGGACACACAGGATAACACGCCGGGGATGGACACATTGGGGATGGACACACAGGATAACATGCCGGGGATGGACACACAGGATAACATGCGGGGATGGACACACAGGATAACACGCGGGGATGGACACACAGGATAACACGCCGGGGATGGACACATAGGATAACACGCCGGGGATGGACACATAGGATAACACGATGGGGATGGACACACAGGATAACACGTCGGGGATGGACACGTAGGATAACATGATGGGGATGGACACGTAGGATAACATGCTGGGGATGGACACACCGGGGATGGACACACAGGATAACACGCCGGGGATGGACACATAGGATAACACGATGGGGATGGACACACAGGATAACACGCCGGGGATGGACACACAGGATAACACGCCGGGGATGGACACACAGGATAACACGCCGGGGATGGACACACAGGATAACACGCCGGGGATGGACACATAGGATAACACGCCGGGGATGGACACATTGGATAACATGATGGGGATGGACACACAGGATAACACGCCGGGGATGGACACACAGGATAACACGCCGGGGATGGACACACAGGATAACACGCCGGGGATGGACACATAGGATAACACGCCGGGGATGGACACATAGGATAACACGATGGGGATGGACACACAGGATAACACGCCGGGGATGGACACACAGGATAACACGCTGGGATGGACACATAGGGTAACACGCCGGGGATGGACACATAGGATAACACGCCGGGGATGGACACATAGGATAACACGCCGGGGATGGACACATAGGATAACACGCTGGGGATGGACACATAGGATAACACGCCGGGGATGGACACATAGGATAACACGATGGGGATGGACACATAGGATAACACGCCGGGGATGGACACATAGGATAACACGATGGGGATGGACACATAGGATAACACGCCGGGGATGGACACACAGGATAACACGCCGGGGATGGACACACAGGATAACACGCCGGGGATGGACACATAGGATAACACGCCGGGGATGGACACATAGGATAACATGATCGGGGATGGACACGTAGGATAACACGCCGGGGATGGACACAGGATAACATGATGGGGATGGACACACAGGATAACACGCCGGGGATGGACACACAGGAGAACACGCCGGGGATGGACACGTAGGATAACATGTCGGGGATGGACACGTAGGATAACACGCCGGGGATGGACACGTAGGATAACATGATGGGGATGGACACGTAGGATAACATGCTGGGGATGGACACGTAGGATAACATGCTGGGGATGGACACGTAGGATAACATGCTGGGGATGGACACGTAGGATAACATGCTGGGGATGGACACGTAGGATAACATGCTGGGGATGGACACGTAGGATAACACGCTGGGGATGGACACGTAGGATAACACGCCGGGGATGGACACACAGGATAACACGCCGGGGATGGACACACAGGATAACACGCCGGGGATGGACACATAGGATAACACGCCGGGGATGGACACATAGGATAACATGATGGGGATGGACACACAGGATAACACGCCGGGGATGGACACACAGGAGAACACGCTGGGGATGGACACATAGGATAACACGCTGGGATGGACACATAGGATAACACGCCGGGGATGGACACATAGGATAACATGATGGGGATGGACACGTAGGATAACATGCCAAGGATGGACACGTAGGATAACATGCCGGGGATGGATAGGATAACACACGGGGATGGACACATAGGATAACACGCTGGGGATGGACACATAGGATAACATGCCGGGGATGGACACGTAGGATAACACCTGGGGATGGACACATAGGATAACATGCCGGGGATGGACACATAGGATAACATGCCGGGGATGGACACATAGGATAACATGCCGGGGATGGACACATAGGATAACATGCCGGGGATGGACACGTAGGATAACACGCTGGGGATGGACACATAGGATAACACGCTGGGGGGGTTTACTGGCTGTAGAAAAAAACGCCAAAAGCCAACAGCTGCTGTAAAAACGTCCCATGTGCATGAGGACTAATCCAAGTGTGACTGGTTCTCTTTAGCCACTGATGCATATGATTGCTGCCTAGAGAACACTATGCATAGCATGATGGGGCTTGTAGTTGCTCAAAAGATGGAAAAGCATGCTGGGCCTTGTAGTTCCAGGTCACAGTAGTCTTTGTTACAGACAGCTGCATAGAGAATTATGACACAATCCCTCTGCTTCTTCATATGTCAGAACAGGCACATGGATGGACTTGCATCAGTGTCAGCGAAATGTCACTTCACATGTCCCCTACAGCAGACCAACTGCATAGGATGGAAAACCTCCAGCAAAGGCGCACTCTGCTGGCCCATGGCAGGTACTGCAAGCTGCAAGCCAGCAGTACAGGAGTCATATAGGGGTTCATTTGCTAAGGACAAATAGACGGTGCACTTTGAAAAGTCCAGTTGCTCTAGAGCTTAGTAAATGAGGCGACGCTTCACTTTGCAAAGAAAACCCAAATAAGTGCAAAGAAAATTTTAAAAAAATGCATTTTTTGCTTGCAGATGATTGGATGATGGAAGTCAGCAGAGCTTCTGCTCATTTACTAAGCTCTGGAGCAACTGCACTTTGCAAAGAGCACCATTTGCTTTAGCAAATTAACCCCTTAGTATCTAAACCCAAAAACATGAATGTAACACATTGTAACATATTAGTCTTTAGATGTGATGGCTGCATTTGTTTTCTATTTCAGAAAAAATGCAGAGTGTACCGTCTATTTGCCTTTAGTAAATCAACCCCAGTATACCATATCTATGGAGGAGCGGTGTTGT